GCTCGGAGAGCCTCCTAGCACCTGGAGAGGTCTGGGTGGCTGTGGGTGGGGTTCAGCTCTCAGAGCGGATCTGGGCCAGGCCAATAGCAAATGGAGCTGTCACCCTAACAGCTGCTTTGTGGCCTCTGTGAAGGGAGGTGGTGGCTTTCATCCAGTTTCTGGACAGCTGCTCTCTCACAAAAAGCAACGCCACAATTGCCATTAATTGGCCCTTTTGGTGGCAGCCTCCCCAGACAGTTCATGGAAACTTTTCCTCGTCCTTTTTCTCTTTTGCTCCATTTTCTCTCCCCTTTCCTCTTCATTTTGACTTTCCCCTTCCTTCTTTATCCCTTGTTTTCCCCTTCGTCTCACCGGTAGGTGGCCTGGGGAAAATAAAAGAGCAGCAACAGTTCCCTGGGGGAAGAGTGCATTCCCACCTCAGCCCGTGCTCTCTGCCAGTGCCTGCAGGGGACCAAGGGAAGGGCCCTGGGGACAGGAGCTCGTGGCCTCCCGCAGCTCAGAGCTGCCTTAGCCTTCCCTGCCCAGCCGCAGGTTGCTTTGCTTAAGGTGGGTCAGAATTGACTCTGGGATTGTGCATTTATCCCTTGAGCTTCTCCTCTCATCGCATGGCTGTGTTTGTAGAATCACAAGGAATCTGGAGTGATTCAGTAGTTGTGGTATAAACCCCCACATCAACACTCCTTCGCAGGCACAACCCAGAGTAGCCCAGAAGGTTGCACAGTCTGTGATTCCTTTCTCTGATAAGAGCTGCCCTCCTTTGGGGGGGATACGCATGATAATTATATCCCCCAATCCAAAATCAGCGTATCTTGCTTTTCCAGACATTTGTGGATGTATAATGGTGTGTATTTGACCAATTTTTAATACAGTAAAATGAAACCTTATTTTCTATTATGCATCTGACAAATCACTTGAATGAAAAAAGGTAAAATTCTATGAATCAAGGACAGCCTGGTGTGAACCATGAACTCCCAGAGTGATACTGACACTCTTTTGTTCTTTTGATACAAATAAAGAAATAGTTGTGGTAGCTGCCCTGCTCCAAGTATGGTAGCAGCTTATCCAACTTCATTTCCTCAGTCTCCAATTAGGAGCCGAGAAGGGAACTAAAGCAAGATTGCTGCTCATCTGTTGTCAGTTTTCTTCTAGAAGGAGGCAACCATAGGACATGATGCTTTCTCACTGTGGAAAGAGGAAAAAAAAGTCAAACAATTTTGCAGCGGTTCTGAACTTACTAAAAAGCACAAAGCCTTTTGCGTAGGCTGCTTCTCTTTGGAATTTAAAACCTGTTTGCAACATTGTACAGGAAATTTCAACCACCATGCCACACACTGGTTTGCATTTAACTCGTTACTGATTGCTGAGGATACTTACCGTGACCCAGAAGACATCCAAACCTTTTAAAAGATCGTTCAAAATCTAAGCCAGGAGCTTGAGTCGGGGCAATAACAAACAGATGTGAAACCCCAGATATCCTTTGCAAGTTAGAAGACTAAGTTACAAGTAAACCACTTTTGCCATCCGTTTTGATTCCTAATACCCACGACTCACAAAATAGTCATTAAGGAAAAAAAGGGAAATTGAGAGAAACACCCCTCTGACTCTCCGGCTTTGGCGATCTTTCCTTATTCATACGCATCTATATCATGGGAAATTTCATCATCTGCCACCTTTTGGTTATTTGTTAGTTAATGAGTACAAATGAATCAAAGACGGACATTGTAACATAAATAATATAAACAAATAATGTATTATAAACAATAATGTTTATATTATTAATGGAGTGAGCAACTATGAATCATACATGACAAAAGGTAGTTGTGAAGAAATGTGATTTCTAGAATACACGCAGTCTATCTGCTAGAGCTGTGGGTCCCCGGTTTTGTGATTCATTTATTCATTTATTTAGAGAAATGATAGAAGTCTGAGCAATGAATGACAGGACCAGATTGATATGTGCCCATTTGTGTTCTTCTTACTGTTTTTAAAATTCTCTTCAAAGACTTTGACCTCAAAAAAGAGAGAGAGAGAGAGAGAACAACAAACTAAATACCCCCCAATAGAGTCATAATTCTGATTTACAACCATTTGTAGTCTGGACATGCTTTGAACTTTGCATTTCAAAAGAAAGCCTTTTCTGATTTTTCTTCCTATTCCCTCTCCTTAGCTTGTCATTTCCAAATGTACCTCCCTCCTTGATAGCAAATGGCAAGAGGGAGAGAATTGGTTTATAGCTGCCAAAGTCTTCACCTCAGAGGAGTGCTGGTTTAATTCAAACAGGGCAAAATGAATGTCTGAGAAAGGGTGAGATTTTAAGGCTTGGGCGGCGAGTGGAAGCGTCATTTCCTGAGTCCACACCTCCTCTGTCATTGTTGGCAGAGACTCTGTCTGGCCCGGTAGCTTTCCCATCTACACTGGTTAAAATACCATGTTGTCACCTCCCTCCCTTTGTCTGGGTTTTTCTCCCTAAGGACATGGAGACATTGGAGAAGATAAATGTAGTAAATTTACGTTATCTGTATATATGGATGATATTATTTTGCTAACAACGAATGCTAGTTATAGGGAAAATATAATTTTTCTATGTAATTGATATTAATTTTTCTAAGCTCTGAAGCCTTCTTTAGATGTTTAATCCATGGGATGCAAATGCAAAACTCATCATGGGCCATACTGATGATAAAAATGAAGAAATTAGGTTGTAGGGCGTGCCAAGGGCTGTGTCATTACGGAGGGCAATGCACAAGGACACCACATTTCCTAACTCCAGGGCACCCCCATTCACATTGTGTTGCATGTGAATGGTGCCCCCTAGTGTGGAGCAGCACAGAGGCTGTGCTCTGCCCATTCATTCATTCAGAACATCCTCATTGAGCTTGCTGTGTGCCAAGCATGGCTCTAAGTGCTGCAGGTATGGCAGTAAACAAAGCGGATGAGAATCCCTGATTTCACAGAAACTAACACCACTCTCTTTTGATTACTTTTTTTTAAGGCCAACAAGCCCCTGCCAACCAAACGCAAGTGTTCATATGCAGAATTTAGCCCATGGGCCCACCACTTCATGACCCCTACTATAGGCATGCAAATTGTTTCTGTGATCATGCAGGTTTTAGCCATGTAGATAAAATACAGTAATGTATTGACCACAGGTTTGCATCCACCGCTGAGCTTACGCTGGATGACAGCTCTGTGTACCTAGAAAACTCAGCTAATTAATTTTTAATTAAACGTTTACCCCCTACCCCAGTGTCTGCTCTTGTTACTCTTTCTTCCCAGAAAATACAATTCCTAGAGGTGACATGTTAGGTAAGTGACAAGGAAAGCTAGAGTGAGGTAGGGGTCATGGCATTCTGCCAAAACACTGTCTAGCCACCTGTCCTAAAAAAGGGGAAAGGCCAGCCATTGAACCGTGCTCACTGGGGCAACCTGAGCCATTTCGAAGTCTACTTCTGATCCCCTATACATTTAGATTTTTTTTTCCAAACAAAAGGTAAGATGACCTGAAGTGTCACGTCCCTTAGGAGGATTTTTTTCCCTTTTTTTTTTTTTTTTTTTGCATTGAAAACTTGAGTAAAAGTGAGAGGAAAACTTAAGTGTCTGCAGGAAGCTTCAGAGGAATATTATTAGGGCACTCAGTTTAAAAGCTTTCCATCTTCCAACATGTGTTGCATTTTCTTAACTAAAAACATGACTCAAAAACATTTAAAAGACCCAGGTCACAAATCTGATGAAGAAAGTCGTGGAATAAAGATCACATATAAACATTCACATCTTCCAAGAAGTTAAACAACAACCACCTGTGATTACTCTTCCTTTTTTCTACCTGCCCCCCTCCAGGATCTTTTCTTTCCCAAACCCTTCAGAAATTAAGGGTAATGGTGATCAGAAAGGAGCGTATTACCCTATCAGTCTACACATGATGTTAAATTACTTTTCCCCAAGTATGGAAGAATTTCCTGAAAGCTGTCAAAGGTATTAATTTCTCCCTCCCTCTCTCTTTAAATCACAAAGCGAAATTCCACTGTCTCTCCCCCACCCCTTCCAAAAAAAAAAAAAAAGTTGTTGAGTTTTGCTTTTCTATTCAGTGCAGCCCTGGCCAAAGTAAAGCCCTCTTTCTCAATGACGTCAAGATCTCTACCAAGATTAGGCTTTCATTTCTCTATTGCAGCAATTAGCCAGGGAATGTATAAAAGGCTTCAGGGAGACTCACTGGCTGCAGAGAGAGGCACTTTGCACCGCAGACAGATAGCAAGGAGGAAAAGCCAGAGGTAGTGGGGAAAGAGGAGTTAGTCGCTCTTGGAGAAGGGAGAGAGTGAGACTGGGAGAAGCCGCCCAGAAAGTGTAAAACGGAGTAAAGAAAGAGAGAGAGAGAGAGAGAAAAACAACTACCCTTAAAGCACATTTAAAAGTCTCAGGCAATTCAAGAAAGAAACAGGCTACGTTTAAAGAACATAGAGACAATGAAAAGTTAAAGAAAAATTTTGCAATCTCTGCCACAGTCTCATAGGTGCTTGGAAGTGAAAGTACAGCTGCCTGTCTTTAACGGACTCTGACAGGGGTAACTGGATTAGGGACGGGTACGCCAGCTTTTTTTTTTAAACATCTTAAATCCCGAAAAAAAAAAAAAAAAGCAGCAGCTCCGAATTGAATGAATTGATGGGCACACTCCAACTGCTGGGCTGGAGAGACTGGACTTGGTCTTGCCATTTCTGCTGCTTTGAAAAAGGAGACAACTTGGGCTTCCTTTTAATTTAGTTTTTCTCCTTCTCCCCCCACCCCCCAACCTCCCCCACCCCTTCTATCACCACCCCCCCCTTTTAAATAAGAGGGTGAAGGGGAACCAGAGCGCACAAGGGAACTGACTCAGGAGGCAGAGAAGATGGGCATCCTCAGCGTAGACTTGCTGATCACACTGCAAATTCTGCCAGTTTTTTTCTCCAACTGCCTCTTCCTGGCGCTCTATGACTCGGTCATTCTGCTCAAGCACGTGGTGCTGCTGTTGAGCCGCTCCAAGTCCACTCGGGGAGAGTGGCGGCGCATGCTGACCTCAGAGGGACTGCGCTGCGTCTGGAAGAGCTTCCTCCTCGATGCCTACAAACAGGTGAGCAGTGCTGATGGACGGTGTCCCCTTACTGCACAGGGCAGGGGCTCACGGGTGGGGACTGGGAGCCTCGGGGGACGAGCTGCCTAGTGGCCGTGCTCAAATGACCCTCTGTGTTTACTCTGCACACCTGTCGCACAGGTTAGAATTGGGGGTTGGGGGGTGACAGATAATAAACCACGATGACTCTGTGTAACTAATAAGGAAGTTTCTCTAATAAAGGCAATTGATATCCTGTTGCAATTTTGGAGTAGAGGGCATATCGGAATAAGAGGCCGGTGGAATAACTTTGGGAAAAAGTCAAAGAAAAATTTTGCTCGGAGGGGAGACTGCTGCATCTATTCTGCTCCGGTCTTAGCTGGAATTTTGGTGTTTTGCTTGGTGGGAGGCTATGTGAGGGGAGCTAGGAACGTTCAACAGGTGGGACGGCAAAGCAAGGAAAGAGAGAATGTTGCTGAAAACTCTTAGAGAGGTGACAAGACTTAATAAAATGGTTACAGCCAATGTGCCGGGTTTCTGTAGCTGTAAGAGTTAATGAAAGCAGCAACTGAGTGCCATCTCTGTTACATTGGTTCAGATTTGGAAGCAGTTTGCAGGCACTGAGTCCTGAGTTACTAAGTATCAATTTATTAAAAAAAAAAAAAAGGATCTGAGTGCTGGCTATCATAAAACCGGCTTAGGGAAGCCACATTTACTTTGGTTCTCAAAAATAAAGTAAGTTGTCTTAGAAAGAGATGGTGGGTCTGTGGTTCAATAAGTGTCCAACATGTGCCCTGAACATTAGAGCAGTGGCCTCCCTTGCCTGCAGAGATTGTGTACCAGGGGGCTGCTCTCTCAAAGCCAGAGTTGATGATTTTGTTTCTAAGTGAAAAATGCTGTTGTTCCAGCCTTTTTGCTGCTTGGGGATGTTGTGGAGCATTTTCAACTGTTTTGCCCTGTCCTTTGTCAATTTACCCCTGTGCCCTATGGCCGGATGACTCCTGAAGGACCCCAGGTTTTAGATGAATGAACTCAGTTGGCAAAAGTTGCATCAAAGCAGACAATCTTGGTTTTCCATAATAGTATAGGAAGACGTTGCCCCAGGTGTCAGGGAAAGAAGCTTAGGAGAGATCCAGAAGCCAGGTGTTCAGCAAAGTGGCAGCACCTCAGAACCAGAGTTGGGAAACTCAGAATAATAGAGGGGGAAGGGAATTCATCCTTCATAAATAAACACTAGAAAAATAAAGCCGGCACCGGGAAAAGAAAAGAAGTAACTTGTAGTCACAAAGAATCCGGGGAAAAGAAGTAACTTGTAGTCACAAAGAATCCGGGGCAAGGTTGTTCCCCTGAAAATAAAATGTTCAAGAAGAAACTATTGGTTGTGAATGAGGCAAGTTTGACTATAATACACATCTTTGTCATTGAGAGCAACTTGCAGAAAGTTTGCATTTATGTCCTAAAGACATGTGAATAGCAAGTGCTCTTCTTAGTATTATAAGGAAGTGGAAATTTTTTATAAGAATATGAATAAATATTCACATTTCTAACAAAATGAGTTGAAACTCATTTATGTTCTGTATGTGGGGATAACTGGGAGATGTGTTCAAGGAGATAGTAAATTGATCATTTTATTTCCACAAATGGATACATTGAATGTGAAATTTTTATGTTTTGTTTTTTGGGGAAGGGAATTTGGAGGAGGGTGGGGGAGCACACAGGAATGTCAAGCATATGAATAATTAGGAAGTTCCCCCATCTGTATTTGTAGTTTGCATGTGTTAGCAGGTAATAGACAAAAGCCAGTAGTTCTATATCAACATACTGAACTCTGACTCTTTTGAAAGATAAATGACTTTTGCCTATGAAAAGAATCACTTCTTGGGAGAACTTTACTTATATGCCTATATTATATACTTTACATAAATATTAACACTCATTGAAAAAAAGATGAAAAAGTCATCTCTCACATGAACAATGGAGGCTATAATGTTACCCACAACTATTAAGTGAAGTTGTTTCTCCCATTAAGCAGCTTATTGAAAATAAAGTAAAAATAAAGAGGCACTTAGAATGTCCCTTTATTAACATTATTATTTTTTTTACTAATGTATATTGTTCCATTGTATTGCAATGTTTTGTTATTCATGTTGCCAGAAATTGGGAGGGATGAGTGATTGTTTTTTTCTTTTTGCATGGGATTTATGTATTCCTCTTCTGTATTTCTTTGTCTCAGTCTGCTGATTTGATTAGTGACCAAGTTCATGGCTGATGTCATGTTTGCTTTTAATGATTTATATAATAGCTACCATGTGCAGAAACCACCCCAGGACTCATATATCCGGAGACAAGACTAGACTGGGCGTGCAATGCATGGAAATATGGCAAATGCAGCTTGAACACAATCTTGATCTCTTTCTGTCTTCAAGTGTGGCAAGGGTGGTGGTTTCTGTGGTGGCATTCGAGGATCACTCAGAACCTCTCAATCAGGCTGACTCATTTCTTTTAATGCTGTTGTCATCCGCACCAGTGTATCTTTGGGTGTAGCCATTTCTACAGCCACTAAAAGAAGTTCTATTGGAGATGGCATCACAGTATTTCATAATCCTGGCTTGCATTGGTTTGAGGCTGCCACCTCCAGAAGCAAAGCTTTCCAAGATGAGGGATGTGTACACATGTGATACAATTAGAAATGTGACTTTTGTTATTTTTAATTTTCCTTATCGTTCAATGTCGGGCACTTGGGAAAAAAATTAGAGAATGTGGAGTAAAAATAATATTATCCGCTACAGGTGGCACCTGTAGCTCAAAGGAGTAGGGTGCCAGCCCCATATGCCGGAGGTGGCGTGTTCAAAACCAGCCCTAGCCAAAAAAAAAAAAAAAAATCTCTGAGTTTTGCCCTCACTAGACGCCACATGGAAATAATAATTAAAAAAAGAAAAAAAGAAAAATCGAAAAAAAAATGCCTTCTTCATTTAAATGTTGAAAGGAATTTAAAATTAACTTTTTAGAAAGGCTTTTAAAGATTGAGATGGTTTTGGTAGGAGGGTGATTCTGTAGGCAATTTTGACTGAAAAGAAAGTCTATAGGAACTGGTGAGGAATTTTGAGATGAACAGATATTTGCTCTTTAAGCTTCTTTGGTCAGTGTCATTGCATGTGAACAATATATCCTTGTGCTGGTGCTGAAAGACTACAGATGCACCCAAGGAGCAAACTGCCCTGTCTGGGAGGCTGGCCCTTACCTAAATGAAGTGTAAAAGTCAACATATAGTACAGATGCTGACAGGCAGTTTAGCTTCTGCACGGTTAATACTGCAGCGGCACAGGGCACACATTCATTTGAACATGTAATTTGGGTTTTGAAAGGGTCTCTTTAATATTCTCCTCCTCCTCTTCATTCACCTCAAGCCTTTGACACTGGTTTCTACAATGGAAAAATGGCTCTTTTAAGAGAGAAACAGTCCCCCAAGAAAACAAAGCAAGCCACAGCCAGAGCTTGTCCATCACTGGGATAAAACATTGGGAAATGATAGGGCTGAGAGCTACATTTTCAAGGTACAAATTAAAAAGAGAATAGCCAAGAGGGAATTGAGCTGAGAGGAAAGAGGAGGCAGCCCATTCTCCCGCTCTGATTTATTTGGCCAGTTTGAATGTAAATGGTTAAATCTCCACTTAATGATTGTTTGGCCACGTTTCTAAGGACATTGATGTAGCTTGGTCGTTATGTCAAAGAATTTGAAACTTCCTGATGGTTAATAAAGCCATGTTCAGGGCTTTGGAGAGCAAGAAGGATGTGTAAAAATCCTTCTACCGAATACTCACTCTTCATTTTCATCCTGTGCTTCACTTTTCTATCATGAGATTATATGATGTTTTGTCGAGAAGCCTTTCTCAGGCTGGGGCAAACAAAAAACAAGGTTAGTAGTATATGCTCTATTCCAGCTTCTGCTTGATGAATGGCTCTTTTTTTCCCCCTTGCCCTGCATTTCAGAGTCCACACGCTAAAGCAGATTATCCTTCTCCCCGTGCACAGAACACTGATCATCATCAGGGGAATCAGATGTTTCTATGTCTATATATTTATACTCGTGTTCCTATTTATCAATATGTCCACTGCAACATTGGAACTTGGCCCCGAGATGTGCCCATTGGAAAAATGCAAATACTTTATTTACTTGCTTTGTTGGTGTTGATCGCAAAAAAAACCCCCAAAAAACGTTAAGGAAGGACAACTGTAAAAGTGCAGATGAGAGAGATAAAAGTCACCAATGACAATATCACACTTTACGAAGGTCCTTTCTGATCCTTGCAGAATAAAGGGACCCTTTGGGAACATCGGAACTTCAAGACCAATTAGTGGAAATGATGCTTCTTGTGTTTGGGCATTAAATACTGGGCAGGGTTCTCTTTAGAGCGGCTAATGCTGGCAGGGAAAGAGGTACCGACCTAATTACTCTTCCGCAAGAGTAAAAAATGCCTTTTGAATGCCTCTTTGGCAAATATGTCTCATTAAGGACAAAAACCAAACACAAACCCTCTAAGAAGGAGAAATTAAGATGATAGGTAACTTGTGGCCAGGAGACTTTCTGTGCCACTGTGGGAAATTAAAACAAGGTTTGGGAGTACCAGGGGAGAACTTGTTTTCGTTGAGCTTTCTTTCCTGCAGCCTAAATGTTATTATGGGACCAACTTTATTTTCTTCATCATTTTGGCTCTGTGTCAAGGAATGCTTTGCTCCTGGGGAGGGTAAAGAATCTTCCATCATTGAAGACAATGGTGATTCTGCCTTGCTGTCTCAGTGGGGGTACATAACTCAGCAAACCAAGAAAGTCTCCATTTGAAACTCTGGTCTATTTAAAATTTAAAATTTCTTATGGTGACCAATGGGGAGATGAGAATGAATAGTAACATGTCTTTAAATATATATACATATATAGGAAAGTTTTATTTCTAAAAAAGGTTTTTTCCTTTATTTGAGCTAAATTGTCCTCCGTCAGGTCTTAGCAAAGATGGACAAATTTTATGATTAGCATATGAAGCTTATAGAAAGCAGACTACTGGTCTACTCATATTTGGACTTACAAATGGTGGGTGTTTTCCTTTTTAGTTTTATTAAATAGTATCAATCTTATCTATGCATTTTCTCTTACCTAGTCACCCTCATGGATAAGAACATTCATGTGTGATGTTGTAGCCTGCAGTAGGGTCCATGGCTGCTCATCAGAATAAAAAGAATTAACCACATTTGTTTTATGCACTGATCAGCTGAGATAATCAAGGACAGATCAACAGCATTGAGTCTCTACAAGAGGGCGCCAGGATTCGTATTTCCAAATGTGTCTGCCCCAGTGAGCTCATCCATCTCCCAGATATGATTATGTTCATTTCAGGTCAAGGTTATTATTAACTGGCAAATCCTTCACTCACCTAGGATTATAACAACTAGCATTCATTCAATAATTCATTCAACAAAGTTAAGAAAATACTTCTCACCCCATCAAAATGCTAACCCTTACCCCCCCCAAGAGAATTATGTATTTGGTAACTTTACTAATATTTAATTTTAGAGTGACAGTGTTGTATGTGCCCTGAATTTCCTAAGGCAAATTAGTCTGTGTTTTAAAAGGAATTGTGTGGCTGAACCATAGATTGTGTCTAAGAAGAAGAAGAAGGTGCTTTAACTTTCCAGGAAAATTAATTGCAAGTAATAAGAGACTCACCTGTGACTGAGGCATCGGTTTAGATTATTTCGTTGAATAACCAGGAACGATGCAAGGATCAATGGATCTGCTGGAATGAGAGTCAGGTGGTTAAAAGCCCATTTTTCAAGGCCACCCAATTGTTCGAAGGTCTCAAAAATGATTCTAACATGCAGATGTATGTTTTTACCTACCAAGAAATTACATGTCGGAAATATTTGTATCGTTGAGATAGTTTTTCCCCCTCATATGTATTGGAAGTGAATTGTTAAAGATGTAGCATGTTCTTGTTACATAAACAACATACAGGTTGTTACATAAACAACATACAGGTAACAAGAAGTCACTGCCACAGACTGATGGGAACATATTTGGGTCTCCTCATCATGGTATGTTGAGGAATACATACAATATCGTTAAAAGCAGCCCTCCTACAATCATCACTGTTTTAAGTGAAATGAATGTAATTAGAAGGTGATGAGCAGCACCACCTAGGTCTTCGAAGTAGTGGAAAAAGACTCATTAATTAAAAGACTAATAATATCTTTAACATGTATACCTTTAAATCTGATGTATATTTCGGTATGTTAAAGACTAGTGTCATTTATATGAAAGAACTCAGTTAAAAGTAGTTTCTTAGATTTCTCTATCTAGTGTGACTTGAGAATTAACCGAGAGATGACTGAAAACAAATGTGCTTGCTTGCTTCAATCACGCCCACAGCTTCCTTTTCTAAGAAGGAAGATTATTACCGTTAAGATTTCCTTTGGAAAATGAATAGTGCATATTTTAAACCTACCCTCCTAGGGTTTTTCAGAAGGGAGAGAAAAGAACTTGAATTCTTGTTCAACAGTTAAAATGAGTTATGCATTAACATTAGATAGAAGCTTCTGAATAAAAGCCCTTGAGTGTTTTATACCAGTTTGGATTGTTACATCTTTAACAATTCACTTCTAAGTGACTTCAATTAACAGCAGTGTCATATGTGAGTATATTTGTATGAGGGAAATAAGTCGATCCAGTTAGAAGTGTATTGTAATATTAAGACAGTGTCTCAAAATCAATTGTACTGTCGTAAGTTGTTCCTAATGTTATTGGCTTTGATTAAACAATTCTAGGGGAAGACCCAATTGTATCCATTCAAACTGAAGTAATTGGCTCCTTTATTGTTGCTGGCTTTTTATTGTCAATTTATAGATCCAAAGGCTGCAAACTCCCCTTCATTCTGTGTTCAATTATTTAAACTATGTGCAAAGCGGGCACATGGAACAATTTTCATCTCTGGCTCTTCTGCCTGAATATTTTATAATTCTGAAGAGCTTGTTAATAACTTGTCTGGTAGAAAAGTACTTTTGTGTGTGTGACTTCCTAGATAGAAAGAGGAAAACAAATGGAAAATAAAGAATTGATGAAAGGTAGAATTCTGGAATAACTGTATGTCTTTTTTTTTTTTTTAAATGCAAGTTGTGAGATTCTATTCATAAGAATCACAATGTAAGCAGTAGCCGTGGAAACCTCCAGCGAGGATGCCGTGCTAAGGAGAGTTCAAATCTTTGCTCTGGATTATATGAAAATATATATACACAAAATTGCCCAGAGAAGATGATGTTTTGTGCCACATGGTGGAGTGTCTCATCGTAGAACAGCAATGCATACCCATATGGCAATTTATAATATCCAAAGAGCTCTTTTCTTTCCTTTTTTTTTGGGTGCAGTTTGGCAGGGGCCAGGTTCGAACCTGCTACCCTTGGGATCTAAGGCCAGTTCCCTACTCACAGAGCCAGGGGCGCTGCCCTCCAAAGATCTTTTTCCTTATGTTGCCCTCCAAAAGCTGTATGGGGAAGACTGATATCATTATAGGCATTTTACAGTTGTCAAAGCTGAAGTACTAAGGAGGCTAAGCAGAAATAACTCTTCTTATAAATACTGACCCCATGTTTTCCAGCTCTGGCCAAAGACAGAACCCACTGGTACCATTGGCCATCACTTAAGATGAAATGGTTTAGCATGCAAGGAAATAAAGGTCTTGCCTGAGTTATTTTAGAATTCAGAAAGAGGCAGTATGTCCCAAGACCCTGATAATTTGTCTTGAGGTAGACCATTTGTGTCTAACTTTTAAAATGAAGTCAATTAATCATTTGCTATATCATGCATGCTAAGTATTGACATCAAAATAAGGGCAGTAAAGAATACCAGCCTCAGCTTAATTATGAAAAGAGTTAACTCCAGTGCCTTCAGTGATGAAAATAATTACCTTCAGTGACTACACAGAATGAAAAGAGACTTTGGGGGCTATTCTTTACCTGCCATGATGCCTCTTTAGTCAAATCAGTAAATGTTTGCCACATGCTCTGAAGGAAATACACATTCTATTAGAGCCAATTGTATCAATTTAAAGCGAATTGAAGTGGCGAGGTGTTTAATGTGTTATTTTCTCCCCTTCCCCTGCTTTTTTCTGCCTCCAGGTGAAATTGGGTGAGGAGGCCCCCAATTCCAGTGTGGTGCATGTCTCCAATCCTGAAAAAGGTGACAGTAGTGGAAATGGTGCCCCAGAGAATGCGGCTGGAGCTGAATGCCACCTCCTGGACTTCGCCAGCCCCGAGCGCCCGCTGGTGGTCAACTTCGGCTCGGCCACCTGACCTCCTTTCACGAGCCAGCTGCCAGCCTTCCGCAAACTGGTGGAAGAGTTCTCAGCAGTGGCTGACTTCCTGCTGGTCTACATCGACGAGGCCCATCCTTCGGACGGTTGGGCGGTGCCTGGGGACTCCTCTTTGTCTTTCGAGGTGAAGAAGCATCGAAACCAGGAAGACCGATGTGCGGCCGCCCACCAGCTTCTGGAGCGTTTCTCCTTGCCGCCTCAGTGCCGAGTTGTGGCTGACCGCATGGACAATAACGCCAATGTAGCTTACGGGGTGGCCTTTGAACGTGTGTGCATTGTGCAGAGACAGAAAATTGCCTATCTGGGAGGAAAGGGACCCTTCTTCTACAACCTTCAAGAAGTCCGGCGTTGGCTGGAGAAGAATTTCAGCAAGAGATGAAATCTAGATTAGCTGGTTAAAGGTATGATTGTGATAGAGCTTATTGTATTTAAAAAGAAAATTATGTAAAGAAGAGGAGATTAAGAACTGAATGCATGTTTCAACTGAGTCCCATTGCTTTACTGAAAGACAAGAATTTAACTGTCAGAAGAACATAGACCTCTAATATCTCCATGCTTGTCTCACCACTCAAATGGCATGGGGCTAAATAGTAGCCCTGTCGCTTCTCTTCTTAGTGAAAAGATCCCAAGATGGAGAGGAAGCAACCCTGACTGCATGTGTTCGTTCTGCTTTGAGAAAGAAGTTACACAGCTGATGCATGCTTTGGGACCAGAAGAAAAGACTTACCTGAATAACGACCATGTTAGGGAATCCACTGTCTATATTCAGATAAAGGGTATTGCCTTGGCTTTATTCGGCATGGATAGAGCCCAGCTGGAAAATTCCCAAATATTTACTTATAATGAGTCCTTGCAGCCAGGTCACATGGTTAAGACCTTCATATTTGATTTATTCAATTTCTAGCCATCTGGTGCCCTATGTGTTTACAATGCCCCAAATTCATAGGTGTATTTGTAGATACACATAATCATGAATGACCCCTTAACCTGGAGAGTTAGAATAATCATCTGAAATCTGAGGGTTACCTTCTAGGCAGGCAGAGACAGCACTAGAAAAAAAGCAACTGTCAAATTGACAAGCCAGGAGAGAGGAGGCTGAAAGATTAGGAAATGTCATAGAGGGTCACCTTGAAGCTATAGAGAGCGGGATTTTGTAGCCACAGAAACAGAGAAACATACGCAGGCCAGAAAAGGAAGAAGCCCAACTAAAAGTAGAGTAGAGAATACACATGTAAAGACAATGCATTCATCATATCCCACGAGATTGAGGGAGAAAAGAGGACTGAAAAAATGCACTCAAGTATTAATATGTATCAAGAGGGTTTTTTTTTTTGGTGGAAATAATTGCTTTTTGAAACATAAATGTGGTATGTATATTTTTAGTGGGTTAATTATACCACATGATGCCTATTAAAGGAAAAACCAGTGGATCTGGTGGTGCTAGTCTGTTCCTCTCTACTGTTACAATTTTTATGTGTCCTTACTCATTCCTAATCTCATTCTCTATAGCAGTGTTCTCTCTAAATGCTGAGCTAAAGAGTAAAGATGTGCGTGTGTTTCAAACACACACACACTCAGTTCCCTTGGGAGCCAGGTGCCCTGGCCATTCAGGTGACCATTCAGCTACGGCCTTGTTTTTCTGCCAGAGTAGGTGAACTATCATGACTGCTTCCTTCAGTTGCAAAATAGAAGAGACAGTTAGTTTAAGATAATTCCCATCAATGATTTTGGAGGCTTTGATATAAAGAACCCCCCAGAGTCATAAAAGTTTTATTGACATTTGAATTTGGATTTGGGTCTTCCCTTTGTCCCATTAGCTGAGGTTTAATAATCTAAGGCCCTTTAGTACATTATTATAATGCTATTTTGTACTAGCATGCTTTCTAAAAATAGACACCATAGTTTTACCCATAAGTAATGATGTATAAAGATCATAGATGCCCCCAAAGAGTGAGCCAATTGATTTTGTATCACATATATATTTTTTTGTAAGTTTGAGGATACTATCAAATCACAGTATATGGTTGTATTTAAAAGTTAAATCAAAGGGTATGTCTATTCCATCAATAACTAAATATGAAATAAAACTAATAATAAAAGATAATCTAGAGTTGAAAATACCTTTTTAAATGAGTTGCCTTAAATAAGAAAAATTGGTAATTGGGTGTGCAAGAACCAAAAATATATTGTTTAAAGAAAATCAGAGCAACATAGCAGTCATACCACTAGTTGAGTTGGTATTATTTTGTAGATATTAATGGTCTATCATGACTGATTTTTTAATGATAACATCTAAGCTTTCCGGTATTTTAAATCCTATTAAAAAGTACCCCTAAAGAAACAAAGTGAATTTTGACAGTAAAAAGGTTCCCCAATGGATATTGGGAAAATCATATTGAAATAAATTATAGGGTGCCATCATACGTAGGGCAAATGGGAAATTCTAACTAAGTGTATCTTTATTTACAAAATACTACGAAATTTTACAAAGAGGTAGCCAAGAAGTAGAGAATATTTTGTACCTGTTTTATAAACTTTTTAAATGAATATTTTATAAACGCACACTTATCTGTAATATCCTATTTTTCCTATGCATGGCAACTTTGGCTTTTGGGACCCCCTTATTTCAGACCCCTTAATTGTTAAACTCTATAGTCAAGACTTATCAGGGGCCACCACTGAGTTTTATTTTCAAAATGATGTTGAGATTTGCCTGGAACTTAGAACAGTTAGAACTAAAAAAGACTTTGATTGCGGTCCTCACATTGCTGTCCTCACACTTCCCCTTTGTTCTACATGGATGATAATGGAACAGGATGTCAGAGAAGCTGGTGGGGGGACGAGATTTGGCTAAGGCAGTGCCAGTTGTCTGGGGAAAAGGATGGTGAAAAAAAATCACCCAGTTGTGCTACATTTTTTGAAGAGAGAGAAGGTTGTGTATGTGTGTGTGCGGGCAATTCTTCTCCCTGAGGAGATAGTCCAATGGGGAGTAGGCTAACTACCAGGGAGAAAGATGTATTAAATAGAAAATGCAAGAGTTTCTGGAAGAAAGGCTATGGAAAGGCCATGAAGAAAGAGAAAGAATAAAACCCAGGGATCCTAGAATATATAGAATGTTTGGTGTTATCAGGGTTATGATAAAGCCTGTAATTATGTAACCTCGACATAAACTTAGGATTTCTTGTGGTTTATCATTTATGAAATTAACAAATTTCTCACCATTGGAGAAAGAGGAAACTCACTGTTGAGCTGATATGTTCAAAGAACTTATCAGATGATCAATACCTACCCACCTATCATGTCTTTTATGAAATACGTCCCTTTGAAAAATTATGGTTCTTATTCCCCCAAGGGAAAATTATTTATATGTGTATATCATATATGAAACTGTTGAGTCTTTTTCTTAGTCCCTAAACATGCTCCCTTCATAGGCTGTGTTTACATAGAACGATCAGGTTAGCCTTTTAAGCTGCATTAGCTTGTCTATTATTGAAATAATTTCCAAGAAATTTTAGATATTTTCATGGCATCTAGATCCATTCAAACATTTATTGTTTGAAAGAGTATGGCTTGGCACTATTCAAAATTCACTTTATTGCTTAGAGAAAATATTAGTAGCATCAGCAGTGACTTTCTTTAATGGGCATGAGTGAAATGACTGCACGGTGATGGAGAAGTGTTCCATCAGTGATTAAATTGTGACTGTCCCCCTTAGTAATCGTTACTGCTTTATATAGCTAAGTGAAAGCCTTTTAACGGACATGACTTTCTACGTGTTTCTTTAGGATCTCTGATCCTGTGTCTTAATTTCATTCATAGATATGTCTCTGATTTTTGGTAATATCAACTTGGAAATGGTCTATTTAATTAATTTTTCCACCATTAGGAAATTCTTAGTCTTTCATCAAGGAGGGAAGGAACCTCCCCCCCCCTTTTTTTCTCATTTTGCCTGAGTGTATTTTACTATTTGAATAAACTTAATGAAATATGGTAAGGTCACACATGGGTGCTTTCTTTCTGCCTAAAGTACCAGAGAGCAGGTTAAAGACAATATCCATGCCTTTGGGAAAATTTCCAGGTAGATTACAAGGTGCCTTCAGCCTGTCCTCTGGGCTATGTCCATAGCCAGAGGAATTTACTGATTTCCAGGATGTCCCACTATGTAAATCATAAGGGGATAAACCCGGACGTTTGTTCCACCTGACCTCTGACTGATGGCTTGGAAAATAAGCTTAATTAGAATCGCATGACCATTGCAAAGGGAAGAAGCTAGACACTGATTTCTGTCCCCCTGAAGAATTAATGAAAACCTTTACCAGCCCTTAGAGCTTTTCAGAACATGCCCAATGTCGTGTCTCTCAATGGTGGAGATTGACAGTAAGCCTTTTAATTTCAGGAGATTTTTTTTTTTAATGATATTGCCAAAAATCAAGTAAAGTATATTTCTTTAAATTCCCACTTCCTCCTTTACCTTAAAAAACAGGAGCCAAACCCACTCTTTATAAATACTCCAGAATGGGGTGTATGTCCCAATGTCCACTTGGTGGTTGGCACGATCTTGGTTGTGTCACGAAGCTCCCTGTGAAAACTGGAAAGAGCCCGAGGGCTCGGTCTACTGATTTGGAAAGACTTGACGAAAAAGCTTCTCTGAGGGTTACTGAGTGACTTTAGGATGAGTAAAACATCAGGCCGTTTCCTAAAGCCTTATGTTCTGTATAGCAGCAGAAGTGCGGTCTCCTACTTAACAGACCCAGCTCTGTTCCAAGGGGAGTCTGAACCAATAGAAAGCAAACATGTACAGATATCCAAACAAGACTGCTCATGCAAGTCGGGGCTTGTTGCCCGTCTTAGGCAGCAGCACCAGAGCTCCAGGGAGTTTATTCAATATTTACTGAGCCTTCGAAGACCCAGCAGATGTTTAATGAAGTCACTATTTTGGCTCAAACCCCCCTTTTCTCCCGCCTCCAAAAAAGCAAACAGGTAAACACCTAAATGAAAGAAGCCCACAGAAGGGGATGGGAAATAAATAAAATTTTCTCAAGACTTCTCCAGGCCATGTCACTGGTCAGTGTGGTTTTTTTATGTCTGTTAGGATTGGGGGATGTGAAGAAATAAATATCCAGTACTCTATAACCAAAGCAATGACAAGAGATTGGGGAGGGAACGGTGGCCAGTTTTGTTTAGTTTTGTATCACATTATCACCAGACTCGCTGGCCCCAGGAATCGGGCGCCCGAACAGGGAGACGGAGATGGGCAGAGTTTACCAGTGTGCGAATGATAACTGCTGACGAAAGAGTCATCGACTCAGTTAGTGGTTGGATGTTGTCACATTAGTTTGTCTCTCCCCATCTTTGTCTCCCTAGCAAGGAGAATACTCGGGACGTGATGCTGAGAGTCC